AACATTTCGATCGATTTTTTTCTTGTATACATCTTTCTTCAATCACCGGAAGTAAATCTCTCATAAATTTCGAGTTTTGATCTTCTTCGGTATTTTACATAATCTCAGGATATAGATGTCGCCATTGTCAAAGCTACTAACCATGTCGAGTGTCCTCCCAAAGATCGGCATCTCAAAAGTGAGTGATTGCTTTTGCATTTGTTTTTCAATCTCGGGAATTCTTAGATCTTATTTGTTTATTGTTTCTTTCTCTTATCGGAGAATTGTTTCAGAAATCTTCGTTGCAACATCAGCGACTCGGCCTCGAGCAGATGTTGCTTACTGCATTCACACTCTCTCTCGGAGATTGCACAAAACCCGAAACTGGACGGTACTGTTTAACCCCTATGATCTGAACTTTTTTAAGAAAATGTTACATCTAGGAAGAAAATGGTTGTAGTCAAGTATGATTATGCGTGTTTTAAGAGTTGAAGTTCTAATAAGAGTGTTGATTATCAGATGTTTCGAATTGGTAGTTTTAAACTTTGTTTCTGGATGATGGTGTCTATGGATAGCTTTGATTAGGTTTCTCAATTCGATTCTGTGTGTATTTTGGTTCAATAGGTTGCATTAAAAGCACTGCTTGTTATACACCGGCTTCTGAGGGAAGGCGATCCGACATTTAGAGAAGAGCTATTGAACTTTGCGCAAAGAGGACGTTTCTTACAACTTTCTAATTTCAAGGATGACTCAAGCCCGATCGGTTAGTCCTTGCTGCTACCTACATTCATTGGATTATGTGTTTAAAAGAATATGAGGTTCCTTCAAGATTTATGGAGAGAGTTATTGCTGATTGGATAATTGCTTTCTGCCTCTCACAGCCTGGGATTGTTCAGCGTGGGTACGCACTTATGCATTATTTCTTGAGGAACGGCTTGAATGCTTCAGAGTTCTGAAATACGACATTGAGGCTGAACGTCTTCCAAAACTTTCCCCAGGGCAGGAGAAGGTATCAAATTTGCGTGTTTACTCGGTTATGTGGCCTGGCCTCACATACCTCCTTTCTTCTCTGATGGTATAGTTTTGGAAATTGAATGCAGGGGTATAGCAAAACAAGGGATATAGATGGTGAAAAGCTATTGGAACAGTTACCAGCTTTACAACAGCTTCTGCATCGTCTCATTGGTTGTAAGGTGCTTCTTTGATGTCATTTACTTAGTCGTACACTATGTTTCTGTAAAGCCCATATTGTTTTCCATTGTGACGTTGTGTGGGAGCACCTTTTTTTGACAAAGGAACTGATTTTGCTCTTTCGACTTTTTCAGCCAGCAGGTGCTGCTAACCACAATCATATAATACAGTATGCACTCGCTTTGGTACGCTAAATTAAGCCACACACATAACTTAGATTTTTACATATATCCCTAGTTCTTAGTCCCGTGTCAAATATTATCTATCCGGAAAGAACAGCTTGAATTAAGTTCTGAGATCTTTTGAAAATTGTATTATCAGGTGTTGAAGGAAAGCTTTAAAGTGTATTGTGCCATCAACGAAGGAATCATCAATCTAGTAGAAAAGGTATGCTCAATTTTTTCTTCTCATGTGTTCTTTGATTTCTCCCTGTTTCATATATATGCATATTGCAGTTCTTCGAAATGCCAAGACATGAGGCCGTTAAGGCGCTCGAAATATACAAGCGCGCGGGTGTGCAGGTAATGTTGTTGGCCTATTTTCTTTGTTGGGTCCATTTAGAGTTCACGTAACATGGGTTAGTCTATCGGTACAGGCTGGCAACCTTTCTGCTTTCTATGAAGTATGCAAAGGATTAGAACTTGCAAGGAATTTCCAGTTTCCTTTTTTAAGAGAGGTATTAGATAAGAACTTATTTGTTACATTTAAATTTGAAATGGAAGTAAGTTATTATTACGATATAACTCTAATTTTGTTTTCTCAAGCCTCCACAATCATTTCTTACAACAATGGAGGAGTATATGAGAGACGCACCTCAGATGGTCGACGTCACATCTGGGCCACTGGTATGTATATGTTCTCATACTTATGTTTGTACAGTAACCATGGTTTTTTATTTTTGTAACTTATTTTCTAAAGACTTTGTCGACATTCAGCTTCTGACTTATGGGCCAGATGAAGGGCTTGCTTCTGAAGATTTTGAACCTTCGCATGAAGAACACGAACAATCATTGCCTTCAGATAGTACTGTTGTTCCCTCTGAAGAGACGCAACCTTCTTCCCAACCTCCTCCTTCAGCAGAATTTCCACATAACATCATTGATACAGATGATCTATTGGTAAAATATGCTTATTACACATCATCTTGATTTTTTCGATTTTATGTCATTGTTATTTCTTCTATCTTCTGATTCTCTCCGTGTTACTCAGGGTCTGAACAATGATGCACCTGATCCATTAGCAATTCTGGACCAAAATGCACTTGCTTTGGCCTTAGTTTCTGCTGATGGTGAGCTTCTTAGACTACATACTGGAACTCTAAACTTGCCTTTCTTGTTTGCCTTTGATCGTATTTCTGATTCTGTCTCCAGTTGATTCTTCACCGTTTGGTTTTGGTCAAGCAAATGATTTGGATTCATCGGGATGGGAGCTTGCCTTGGTCACAACACCAAGCAATGATATATCTGCAGCCACGGAGAGGCAATTGGTAAGATGTATTGTTTTGTTATTGGTAACGGCATGCATCAATTCAATTACTTGCCATTATCTTGAGTTTGTGGCTTCTTAATTATAACCAATCTTGTGTGCAACAAATGCAAGGCGGGTGGCTTAGACACTCTCACCCTCAACAGCTTATATGACGATGAAGCCTACAGAGCCACCCAACAGCCTTCCTACGGCGCTCCAGCTCCCAATCCGTTTGAGGTCCAAGACCCATTTGCGTTTTCCAACAGCGTTCCACCACCTTTAGCCGAAAGCAACCCTTTCGGTCCCTAC